CCCCTGGCTGCTGGCGGGGCTCTGCCTGGTCTCACCCGACCCCATGCCCTTGCAGGAGGCCCTGCACACCAACTCCCTGGAAGCCCAGGCTGACGGCCCTGTGGACTGCGGCCTGGACTCGGGGGAGCCTGACGGGAAGACCCCCACCAGACAGGCGTCCCTGGGGGACTCCCTGCGGTCCCCAACCCGCTCCCCGAGACCCGCCAGTGTCCGAGCCCGAAAGCACACTTTCGGACAGAGCTGCATCTCCAGCCAGCTGCAGGCCCCAGCCGGGGAGGTGGCGGAGGCCCCAGACCCAGCCGACGAGGAGGTCAGCCACATCACCAGCTCAGCCCGAAGCCCCTCGCCCGAAGCCCACAGGGTGGTGGCTGGCAAGCCGGACCTGTGCAGGCTCTATGGTGTGGACGCCCAGGGCCTTCTGGACCAGCCCGGCCGGGCAGACCAGCACCGGCGGCCCTCAGTGGAGCAGGGTGGAGGGGATAGCCGCTCTGAGCCTGGAGAGGTGAAGGCCCCGGCCCTGGAGGCTGAGCCGGCACTGGGGTCGCGCAGGAAGAAGAAGATGAGCCCCCCGTGCATCTCCATTGACCCCCCCGTGGAGGACGAGGGTGCAGCCTGGCCCCCTGCAGCAGAGGGTGGCAGTACCACCTTGCGGCGGAGAACGCCGTCCTGTGAGCCTATGGAGGGCTTGGGGGTGGACCCTACCAGCAAGGGGGAGCGCTGGGGCCAGGTTCCCTGCCGTGCAGAGCACCTGACCATCCCCAGCTTTGCCTTCGAGCCGTTGGACGTGGGGTGCCCCAGCGGGGACCTGTTCTCGGACAGTGGTCACAGGGTGGCCCCAGAACCCAGAGCTTCCTCAGGGGTCACAGCACCTGCCGAACCCCACAAAACAGAGTCTCCCATGCCCTCCAGCGACCCCCCAGAGAAGGGATGGGGGCTGTACCTCAACGTCCCCGAGAGCCCTCCAAAGAAAGCAGGGTCCCCCCCAGCCAGTCCCACACCTGGTGACAGTGCGGATGAGCCTGTGTAGCTGGGGACACGATGCCACACAGGCTTGGCACTGGGGTTGGGGTGTATCCAGTGGGGTGGCCCCAGGCAGGGCCATGCATGGACCCCAGCTCGGGCCCTACGCTGGGCAGAGGAGCCGGGAGGACGTCGGCCCGGGGAGAGGGAGGCAGACGCTGTTCTGGGTGAAAGGCGTAAGGTTAGCTCCTCAGACTGGGAGCCTGTCGGCTCAGGTTTGGTTTTTATGCGTTTGGCCGCTGTGGTCAGACTGCTGGCAGCCTGGTCAGCAGTCCCTTCACGAGAGGGGACCAGGGACAAGGACCAGAAAGCAACCCAGAGGAAAAGGTAGAGGCTGCCTGGCAGAGTCCCGTCCTCACATCCACTTACTTTTAGAGGGAACTCACGCTTGGGGCCATTGTGCCCTCGTGGGTGGCAGCTCAGAAACCGGGGTCCCCGCCCCCGTGCCTCACCATCACTCACAGTCTGAGCTCCTGTCCGTTTGTCCCGACCGCTGCCATCGCTGTCTCTCCACCTGCCCCTCTTGGACCCCTCCCCACCATTCTGTCCAGAAAACACCCGTGGACTGGTCTCTGAAACGCCGGATCACCAGGGAATGGGAGCCAAGACCCCGAGGCCAGCACCTCCAACGGCCGCCCTGGGGTCTGAGCAGAGCCGTGCCCGCGGGTGCCCCTTTGTTTCATTTTGTTTCTCTTATAAATTCAGGTTAAAGTTGCAATAATCCGATGCAGAAAATTCAGCTTCTGAAGTTGAGGGCATGGGGGGCAGAGCAAAACAGAATAAACGTTAACTTATTTAAGGAACAAGAGGGCGACCGGCAGAATCTCAGTCCCGCGCGAGGGTGGGCGGCTGGACGGTGACTGCCACCCCAGCAGAGCGGCAGGGTCCTCCCCCGAGCACCTGCGGCTGGTGGCCCATGGTTCCCCCACTCGGGCAGTTTGTCAGGAAAAGCTGAGCTCATCATAGCCGCCGAGCACACGGCATTCCCACGCTGCAGAAGCTGCATCTGACAACGTAGGGAGAAGTTGCCAGAGCTTCTGACGGGGGTGGGTGCTGTGGGGGGTCCCCTCGGGGAGAGCTTTCCAGCTGGGCAGTCGGCTTAGGGCTGCAGAAGGCACCCACTCTCGCTATCTCCCTGCGCTGAAGTCTTTGACACCCTAGCCCTGACCCTTGACCTTGCCCCATGTCCTGCTGGCCTCTCCGACCAGGGCTTGTCTGCAGCCCCATGGTCCCTTGTTCTCAAAGCCTGATCTTGGGGATCTCTCAGGACAGTTGCAGCTCAAGGCCAGAAACGTCTGAAACCCCAGGACTGGAGTCTCGCCAACCCACCCTCCCCACTGTCCCTGTCCCACATCCGTCTTGCAGTTCCATGATCTCCACCACAGATCTAACGGACACAGCATGGGGGCACCCGTATCTTACCATCTTGTTTGGCCAGGGCCTGATGACTGAGCTGTTGGGGGCCTCTGGGAGGGACTGCAGTCTCCCACTCCCAGCTCCCTGCCCAGCTCCAAGTCATAGGCCTGGGTTGTAGGTGACTCTGTGTCACTGATCCACTTTTAGGTGTGTGTGGGGGGGGGGGGGGGGGGGGGGACAAAGGTACATGGAGGGTGAGAGTGAGGACCAGGCTTCTCAGGGCACAGACTTGCCTCCTGCCAGCACCCGGCCTGGAGATGTGGCTCGAAAGTTCCTGTGCCACATTGCCCTGATGATGGACAGGGATGGCGGTGGCACCATCTCTGAGTGACGACTGCATTGAACCCATCACAGGAACGGACCTGGAAGGGTGCCCAGGAGGAAGGGGGAACGGCCCCCTGGCCTGCACGCCCAGCCTCTGAGGGCCTGATGTCACCCAGTGTGTGGGTTGGGGGCCGGGTCTAGAGGACCCCAGGTTCTCTGTGCTTCCCGGAACCCCAGTGACTTCCCTGGTCCCCACAGGATGAGCCTTCAGGGCATTCATCTACTTTCGGTCATTTCCCTCCAGCACTGAGACCCCGCTCATTCCACCAGCACCCCATGCATGGTTTCCTGCAGCACCCACACCCCCAGGACCCCAATCACCGTGGGTGTGGACCCCACGATGACTGACAGGCCTCCTCTGTGCCCATTTTCCAGGAGGGGTGGCGTACCCCAGAGTGCCACCCCCGCCTGGACCTGGGGTGCGGGTCACCAGCAGCCAGTGAACGTGGCCCTGCACGGGGCTCCCTCAGGAGGACCCATGTGGACACACAGGAAGCGCTGTCCCCCCGCAGCCCCCCTGGCCCAACGGAAGGCCCGCTGGACCCTCCCTGATAAGCCAACACTCACTTTATCTGTCACTGCCTCTGGCTGAGCTCCTCCAGATCCCAGGGCCAGATAAGGAAAGTGGGTGCCCGGCCTCCTCCCTGCTCCCCCAGTGTGGGGGTCTCAGCCCCAGGCCCCCCCCCACGTGCCCTTCCTTCCTCGCACCCCCCACCGGAGGAGCCCCTGTCCTCAGTGTCTCCAGCATAGCCCGCACCGAGAAAAGTGTAAATGCGCTTGTGCAAGGCGCGTGATCCAGGCAGCGGCAGCCCCAAGAGTGTGGGGCGGAGGGAGGGAGGGAGGGAGGGGGTGGCGGCCGGCCCATCTCTGCCTTCACACCCAGGAAGGACAGTATCTGGCTGCAATAAGATGAGGAAGGATGAAATGAGGGGGTGAGCCCTCCCCACCACGGTGTCCACAGCGGGGAGGCCCAGGGTGAGTGGGCAGAGGCCCTCCCACGGGGACCGGCCAAGTCTGCGCCGTGGGCAGGGAGCTCGGTCATGGGACGCTGTGCCCAGGAGACCAGCTGAACGCACAGCAGCCGGATGCACAAAACCAGCGGCCCCGGTGCCTGAGCGAGGACAGGAAGCTCGCTCTCTGGCCGCACATCCCAGAGGTGGAAGCACTGGCCATGGGCCTGGGCCCGTCAGTGTTGCAGGCGGACACCCGCCCCCTCTCCTGCCGTGGGCGCGACAATGTGAAAGAGGTTCCCACACCAAACCCATAAAATGCTGATTAAAACTCAGTGAGATGCACCCCCCCAGAATGGGGTGTCGGAGGGTGACAGGCCTGGCCCCATGGCTGTGGGGGGGGGATCTGGCTCCCAGGAAATGGAGGTGCTCGGACCTCAGGCCTGGCTCCCTCGCTGGCACAGGCACAGACATGCGGGATGTGCGCACAGACAGCCGCCCTGGTCCTGAGACCCTGACCGGGCTCCTCTGTCCCCTGCAGCGGCCTGGACGCAGGCTCCCTGGGAGCCGACACGCTGACGGTGAGAAACGGTGTCCTCCCCACACGCAGCCGCAGGAGGACAACCCTGCGTGGTGTTGGGTGTGACGGAGGCTCCAGCCTCATTCCATCCGCCTGCACCTGTGACACTCAGGCAGCCGCACAGCGTCCACATGTGCGAGCTCAGTGCGGCCTGAGAGCTGAGGGCGGTGCTGGGTCGGTGGGCAGGGCACTGAGTGGTCGGAGGCCCCAGGGTGTGAGGCCAGGGGTCTATTGTGACCCCGTTACTGGGCACCTGGGTGCCCCCAGAATTATCTTTTTAAAAATATTTTTTATTGATTTCAGGGAGGAGAGAGAGAGAGACATCCATGACGAGAGAGAATCACCCATCGCTGCCTCCTGCACGCCTCCTTCTGGGGACTGAACCCGCAACCTGGGCATGTGCCCTGACCAGGAATCAAACCGTGACCTCCTGGTTCATCGGTCTACACTCAACCACTGAGCTGCGCTGGCTGGGCAAGAATTACCTTTTCAATGTTCTGTGTTGCTTTATGTGATCTGAATACACACGACCGCTCCCCAAGGAGACACAACTCTAGGAACCAGGGGCTGGGGAGGGGGTGTCCCCACAGCAATGCCCAGTGCTCAGGGCCAGGGGTCCCCACAGTGACACACAGTGGCTGTGTGGCTGCCCCTGGAGCCGTCCCTCCCCCTCAGTGACGCCCACACCTGGACACACGGCCACAACCACATGTGCTCATCACACACTTTAATGAGGGGCAGTGCCCACCACCCACTCCCTGGGCTGGGGGAGCTCAGGGCAGGGGGCAGGGTAGGTGGAGAGGGCAGACACCTGGGCAGGAAGCAGTGGTCGGGGTCAGGAGGGCGCTGGGTGGCAGCCCGAGGGACGGGCTCAGGGCTCCTCGGGGACGTACTGGTGGATCCAGTCCAGGTAGTAGGTGACACGGGTGTAGATGCCGGGCCTGTGGGGCTGGGCACAGCCGTCACCCCAGCTGACCACACCCGCCTGCATCCAGGTGCTGTTGACCGTGCAGACCAGGGGCCCTCCAGAGTCGCCCTGGGGAGGAGAGGGGTCAGCAAGTGGCTGGAGAGGCAGATGGGGTGGGGACTCGGGGGAGGACACGGGCCCACCTGGCAGGAGTCCTTCTTCTTGGCCCCGGCACAGATCATGTTGTCACGGACGATCTGCACGTTGTCCCCCGTGTAGAGGCCGGTGTGGTATTCTGCGTCACAAATGCTGTTTTCCACGATGGGGACCTCCACCTGCTTCAGGGGGAACGGCGGCGGGAGGGGTACTGTGCGGTGAGAGGAGAGCGTTCGACACCAGTGGCAAGGCCATCACTGACCCGAGCCTGCTGTCGGGATCCCTCCCCCAATGGAACCCCAGAGTTGGGTGGGTTTTGTGACTGGCCCCCACTCCCCAAGCCCTCCAACTGTGCCTGACACTCACCTCCATCTCGCACATTACCCCAGCCTGTCACCCAGCACGGGGTCCCCGGGGGGAAGGTCTCCGAGGCAGGGGGCAGAGCGACCAGCTGGGCGATGTGCTTAGTGCTCACGGGGTCCTCCAGCTCCAGCAGCGCGATGTCTGCCCCGTTCTCAAATGAGAAGTAGTTGGGGTGCACGATGACCCGGTTGATGGGCAGCAGCCTGTCCCGGTAATAGAGGTGCTGCTCCCGCAGCTGCACCCTCAGGTCTGCGGGATCTGTGATGTCCCTTGAGGGAGGGGCACCTACTCAGGGACTGAGCAGCCTCCTGTTCACCCAGGAGGGAGTGCGGATGAAGCCCAGGCCCCCCCCCCCCCCGCCCCATCAGGCCCCATGGACACTCACGGTCCCAGGCAGTGCGCAGCGGTCAGCACCCACTGGGGGTGGATGAGGGAGCCGCCGCAGAAGTGCATCCAGTACTGGTGTCTGAGTCTCAGGCTCACCTGCCAGGGCCACTTGCCTTCAGAGGCCTCCTGCCCCCCCACGATGCCCACTCTCTCCAGGTCCTGCCTTGGGGCTGGGGCAGGAAACACCCTCAGGGCAGAACAGGACACAGCCCAGCCCCTGCACCCACACAAACCTGGGCTTCTGTGAGCCCACCACCCGTGGTGGAGCCTGTGGGGTGAGGGGCAGGGGCAGGGACAGGGACAGGGCTGAGCAGGGTCAGGACTCACCAGGGGCCGCGTGGCCCAGGCTCCGCAGGAGGGCCAGTGCCAGCACCAGCAGACTCAGCATCTGGAAGGAGCCAGGAGGGGCTGCCTGACCCAGGGGGGCTGAGCCAGGCGGGGCCTGCAGGGTGTGGGTGCAGATGGAGTCGAGGACCCCGGGATGAGGGGTCAGTTCAGACCTGAAGTCTGAGGTCTTGCTGCTCCAGATGTGAGGCTCAGCTACTCAGTGCACGAACCCCAGATGGTGGGGTCTGGTTGGGGTGCTTACCTTGACCGGTCCCTGCTGCTATTGCCCAGCCCACTCTTTCTTTCCCATTTATCCTTCCAGATCAGGGGGTGGGGGGGTCAGAGGTCAGAGGTCAGAGGAGGGGTTGCTGGATCCTCCAATCCAGAGTGGAGGAAGTGGATGATTCAGACAAAGGCTTCCATGTGACATATACCCCCACCACCAGGCACCCATCTGGGAGCCCACAGGTCACATGGGTACGGCATGCAGCCAAATAGAGGACAAGCCACCACCACTCCACCCCTAGTGGTTCCTGACTCCTGGACTCTGGCAGCTGAGATGCCTAGTTCAGCCTGATTCGGGTTGGGGGTGTGGGCGACCAGATCAGCAGGGGAGGGCTGTTGGGGGCGAGCAGGCTGGCAGGGGAGGGCAGTTGAGAGCATTAGGCAGGCATGCAGGTGAGTGGTTAGGAGCCAGTGGTCCTGGATTGCAAGAGGGATGTCTGACTGCCGGTTTAGGCCCGATCCCCGGACATACCCTGAGGGATCCCAGATTGGAGAGGGTGCAAGCTGGGCTGAGGGACACCACCACCCCCTGCACGAATTTCGTATACAGGGCCTCTAGTTAAAATTATAAAACATCTAGGAGAAGCCGTAGCAGAAAATCCTCACAAGCTGGAGGAAGGCAGAGGGGACTCAAAAAAGAAAAAATTGATAAATGGGACTTCATCAAAATTTAAAACTTACACACTTAACACTGTTAAGATAATAAAAATATAATCCACCACCGGGAGAAAAAGATTTGTAATATATGCATCTGGCAAAGAACTTGTATCCAAATTTATGAAGGAAGGAAGGGAGGAATGGAGGGAGAGAAGAAAAAGAAAAGGAACTCCTACAGCTCACTAAGAAGACACCCAACTCCATTAAAAAGGGGGCACGGGCTTGTGCTGATAGCTTATCAAAGGAGCTGTTCAAATGACCCAGAAGCACATGACAGGAGGCTCATCCTGCTAACTCATCAGGAAACTGCAGTCTAGATGGTCGCCGTTACACACACACACACACACACACACACACACCCGCAATGGCTGGCATGTTTCGGGCTCTCCCCACTCTTCTCCCTCCCCCTCCCTTTCCTTCTGAATGGAGCAGCCCAAAGCCTGGCGGAGGGCAGGGCAGATAGGCCTCTGGTTGGGTTGGTGCTGGGGACTGCGCTGGCCCAAGTGGGGTCAGAGTCCACTGGGGGGGATTGACCAAAAAAGACAATGCCTTAAGGGCAGAAACCAGGTCTCACATGCCAGAGAAGGCAGGCCAATATGAAGAGGAAACAACTGGAATAAACTGGTTTGGGGTTGGGGAAGGCTCACATTTCAATATAGATATAGAACTATAAAGGTGTGGGGGCATGTACATGTGTGCGCATGTATGTGCGCTCGTGTCTGCCGAATGCATGTGCACGTGTGTGTGTGCATGAGCATGCACGTGGGTGAGTACACGTGTGCACATACACACATTCTCTGGCTCGGCGCCAGAGCAACCAGCAGCATCTTGGATCTGAGTACCACTTGCCCCTGAGAGGAGCTTGGCCACCCGGAGAGGTGACGGGAGATGGAACGTAGAGGGGCCAGGGATACCCTGTTCCAGGACTTACTCAAAGAGACGGAGAGGGACCTCCACAAACACACTTCAACAGGGATGTGCCCACATCTTTATCGGTAACAGCCCCGACAGGAAGCAAGCAGACGGTCAGCACCAGCTGAAAGGAGAAACACACTGCGGTACATTCCTGCAGTGGGATACCACCTGGCGATAACAAGGAACACATGCAGAAGGTGACAGAACATCCACCTGCATTGCCAGTGCATGAGACAAGCTCACTGGAGGGCGTGTGGCCGACCTGAGCCACTTGGGAACGAGTGGCGACTGTAAGACTCAAAGCACAGGGACTGCCTGCAGCACGGTGCTCTGGTTGACAAAGTTAATTCCCACAGGGGCAGGGTGACAATCCGGTACTGCTACGCTGGCAGTGAGCAGTGAAGCTCATGGATGGAGGGTGCTTGGAGCTGGGTGGGAGGTTGGGACAAGCATGGAGTAGGCAAGACTGATCTCTGTGGTGATGGGTTAGAACTGGAGACACAAGTTTGAGGTCTTAATTAGCTTAATAAAGATCCATAAGAAGATAGTTATGCATATGTGTCTATACACCAGTCAGTGCACACACATTTCCTTGTTCTCTCAGCTGAGGGCCTAGAACAGTGGTTCTCAACCTTCCTAATGCCGTGACCCTTTAATACAGTTCCTCATGTTGTGGTGACCCCCAATTTCCTTGTTACAAATTGAACATAACTAAAGCATAATGATTAATCACAAAAAATATGTAATTACATATGTGTTTTCTGATGGTCTTAGGTGACCCCTGTGAAAGGGTCTTTCGACCCCCAAAGGGGTCACGACCCACAGGTTGAGAACCGCTGGCCTATGGCAGGGACCCCCGCCCTGGCAACCAGCACAGCAGGGCCCAGACTCGGGTGTCTAACAGCATCTCCCACACAAGGAGCCAGGGTCCTTGGAGAAATGGCTGATTCTAGAGCTGAGGCAGCCAATGTTCAAGATGAGCCAGGTGTCTGAGGAGCTGTCCCAGCCCAGAGGGCCCTAAGGAGACGAGACGATTAGATGTCATGTGGGGCCTGGATGGAATCCTGGGACAGAAAGAGGCCATTGGTGGGAAAGGAAGGGCATCCGAATAAGCCAGGGATTACAGTTAGTATAGTGTATCCTATCGGGTCATTAGTTATAACACATAAATCATACCATTATAAGATGTTAATAATAGAGGAAATTGGGTGCAGGGTATAAATCTAAACCTGTTCTAGAATTTAAAGGTATATTTCTAAAAAAGAAATACAGACAGAGAGTTCCAGGCCCAGCTGAGCCTGGCAGAGACAGCGCAAGGCCTGTGCAGTGTGGCCTCAGCCGCCCCCGGGTCCCATGGTCTCCACCACAGATCAGACAGGCACATCACCAGCTACCCTGCCGGGGGCAGCCCTTCCTAACGGTCGCCTGTCCTGCCAGGACCTGATCGCTGAGCTGATTAGGGGGCCCTGGGAGGGGCCGGGCCTTTCCTGCCCCCCTAGCTGCCAATCACAGGCTGAGTGGGAGGTCCCTCTAGGTCAGTGATCTCCTCTTAGACCTGGGAGAACTGAGACATGAGGAGGGGTTTGCCTGATGATCCAGGACCAGTCTTCTCGGGGCGCAGACCTGTCTCCTTCCCACCAACACCTGCCAAGAGCTTCGGCTCAAAAGTGGGTGTTCCACATTGACCCTGGTGATGAATAAGGGTAACAATGGCACCGCCTGTCCAGGCCTCCAGGGGCCTGATGTGGCCCAGTTTAGGGGGTGGGGGTGGGGGTGGGTCTGCAGGAACACAGGTCATCCGCCTCCTGGACCACCCAGTGCCATCTCCAGGTCCCCACAGGAAGGGAGAGGGGGCCCTCACCTGTCCCACCCCAACTAGCCTCCAGCACTGGGACCCTCTCTCCCCACATGCAGCCCATTCTGCATGGGAGGCAGAAGGATAGCCCTTCCAAGATGTCCTCGTCCTCACCCCTGGGCCTGTGACTGTGGCTCATGGGGCAGAGGCTTTTGTGTACATGACTAAGGCGGTGGCCTCGAGATAGGAGAGTTTCCTACGCCATCCGAATGGACCAGTGTCCTCAGATGAGTCCTTACAATCACCGAATCTTCCCAGCTGTGGGCAGAGACGTGAGGATGTCGGAGAAAGGCACCCAGCTGCCTTTGGAGATGGAGGACAGGCCAGGAGCTGCAGAACTTGGGGGGCCTCTAGAAGCTGGAAAAGGCCAGGAAAGGATGCTCCCCTGGAGCCTCCTGCCCACACCCGGACGTTAGCCCCGTGAGACCCAGGACATACCTCGGACCTAAGAATCATGAGAAAATAAATGTGTCATGACAGCACCGAGTTTGTGGTAATTCCAAACCCAGGTGATTTCCCTGGGAAAGTTATCCAGCATATAAGAGAGAAATAATATCAAACCGACATGATCTCTCCCAGCTGGAGAGAACACTTCCCAACTTTTTTTTAAAATGAAATCTTTATTGTTCAGATTATTACAATTGTTCCTCTTCCCCCCCCCCCAATAGCTCCCCTCCTCCTGGTTCCCACCCCACCCTCTGCCCTTACCCCTCCCACTGTCCTCATTCATAGGTGTATGACTTTTGTCCTGTCTCTTCCTGCACCCCCACACCCCTTCCCCCCCCCCCCCGAGCATAGTCAGTCCACTCCCTTTCTATGCCCCTGATTCTATTATATTCACCAGTTTATTCTGTTCATCAGATTATTTATTCACTTGATTTTTAGATTCACTTGTTGATAGATGTGTATTTGTTGTTCATAATTTGTATCTTTACCTTTTTCTTCTTCTTCCTCTTCTTAAAGGATACCTTTCAGCATTTCATATAATCCTGGTTTGGTGGTGATGAACTCCTTTAGCTTTTTCTTATCTGTGAAGCTCTTTATCTGACCTTCAATTCTGAATGATAGCTTTGCTAGATAAAGTAATCTTGGTTGTAGGTTCTTGGCATTCATCACTTTAAATATCTCTTGCCACTCCCTCCTGCAAAGTTTCTGTTGAGAAATCAGCTGACAGCCGTATGGGTACTCCCTTGTAGGTAACTGACTGTTTTTCTCTTGCTGCTTTTAAGATTCTCTCTTTGTGTTTTGCTCTTGGCATTTTAATTTTGATGTGTCTTGGTGTGGTCCTCTTTGGGTTCCTTTTGTTTGGGGTTCTCTGCACTTCCTGTACTTGTAAGTCTATTTCTTTCACCAGGTAGGGGAAGTTTTCTGTCATTATTTCTTCAAATAGGTTTTCAATATCTTGCTCTCTCTCTTCTTTTGGCACCCCCATAATTTGGATGTTGGTACGCTTGAAGTTGTCCCAGAGCCTCCTTACACTATCTTCATATTTTTGGATTCTTTTTTCTTTTTGTTTTTCCGGTTGGGTGATTTTTGCTTCTTCGTAATTCAAATCTTTGACTTGATTCTTGTGATCCTCTAGTTTGCTGTTGGAACTCTGTATAATATTCTTTATTTCAGTCAGTGTATGCTTAATTTCTAGTTGGTCCTTGTTCATATCCTTGAGGGTCTCACTAATTTTATCAGCAGTTTCTAAAAAATTCTTGAAAAACCTTATAAGTTTGGTTTTGAACTCTATATCCAGTAGTTTGCTTTCCTCCATTTCTGTCATTTGTGACCTATTTCTTTGTCTCCGCATTTTGGCTGCTTCCCTGTGTTGGTAGAGTGGCTTTGTGTGCTAGGTGTCCTGTAGGGCCCAGTGGCTCAGCCTCCCCAATTACCTGAGGTGGACAGTCTTGGTGCACCACTTTGTGGGCATTGTGCACAGTCTTGTTGTAGTTAAGCCTTGATTGTTGTAGGTATCACTGGGAGGAATTGACCTCAAGGCCAATTGGCTGTGAGAATCAGCTGTGTCTATGGTGGGAGAACTTCTGTGCTGGAGACACCCTTCTGGGGCAAGACTTGCTTCAGTGGGGCTTTTGTGCTCACTGAGTCTAACCCTGAGTGTGTCCCTTATGGATCTGAGGAGTTGTAATCTGGATGGTCCCACTCTGACCCCTGGGTACGCTGTCTCTTGGATCTCTAAGGAGGTGCTAATTTAGCCTCTTCCTGAGGCTACCCAGCAGGAGTTACGGAGAGATCTGCACATTCGTCTTCTTTGTTTGAGATTTGGAGGTGCCCAGATGAGGCCCAGCTGTGAAGCAATGTAAGCTGCTGTGGGGCCTTGGGCCTTCTTTTGGAAGTTTTGGACCTGTCTGACCCAGTTGCACTTTGTTAGGTAATTTTCAGGTTGCAAAGGGCCAGGCCTTTCATATGCAAAAGCCTCTGCGCACAGCTTGGGTGGGGCAGGGTCTCAGGGAATCAACAGGACGGAGCAAACAGCTATGGCTGATCCTCAGTCCTACCCTAAGAGGCCCCGGGTCTCAGTGTCCCACGGTAATCGCTGCAAGCACCTCTGAGAGAAAGCCGCCCTCGAGTTCTGCCCGATGCCAGACAGTCCAGTTTCTCCCCATATGAGTCTGGGTCCCCAGAGACTCGCCCAGAACTGGAGTTCAGAGCAGTTGGGAGCTTGAGACTCCCACCCGATTGAAAAAGACAACCGCATCCTCAATTGCCAGCCCTTTCTGCGTGCGCCTCCGTACTTCTGCAGTTTACTTCTGCACCTCCTCTGAGTCTCAGTGTGCTTTTCTCTTTCCTTCTAGTTGTAGAATTTCCACTCAGCCAGCCTCCTGTGGTTCTGGATGATGTCCGTTTTGTCTTTTAGTTGTATTTTTGAAGTGGTTGTGCGAGGCAACAATTTCCGGTGTTTACCTATGCCGCCATCTTGGTTTCTCATCCCCAACTCCTTTTTATAGGATCAGGATTACCCTGGTACCAAAATTACTCAAAACCATTACATAGCAAGGTAACTACAGACCAATATCCCTCATCAGCGTAGACGCAAGAATCCTCAACACAATATTAGCAAATTGAATCTAGAGCTATATATATGGGATCTAGATAATGCATCATGACCCAGAGAAGTTTGGATAAGAAAACCAAAGATATTATAAGAAAAGCAAACTAGAGACCAGTGTCCCTCCTAGAAAAAGCCACCAAAATCCTTAATCCAATTTTGGCAAATTGAATTCCTCAAAATATGGAAAGGCTGACACATCATGGTCAAG